TGGTGTGGGTGGCGGAGCCTGCAAGGGAGTTGAAGTTGTGTTTTGAATTTTTCCAGAGCTGGCTGAAGAAGGCTGCGAGGGTGTGGGAGGTGGGGGAGGTGGAGGAGGCGGGGGAGGTGGTGGTGGCGGAGGTGGTGGTGTTTCTGGAGAAGATGGGGAAATTGGGTAAAGCTTGTCATAAGCCTCCCTATATTGGCGTGCAAACTTTTCTAATGTTCCATATGGAAAAAAATGCCCATGCACATGTTCTTGATGACTCTTTAGAATAAGAATGTTAGAGAACATTTTACTGCATGTTCCACATTCCAATTTGTCAGTGTTTTCACCCTCCCCGCTCTTGCTTTTTTTCTGTACTTTTTGTCTGTTTTCATTGTACTGGATCACTAGCTCAAAGCCAAAATTCTCCAACAAAGCCTTGGCTGCATTTCCTCTAGCCCCAGAAGCTATTCTGGGTGGTGGGATGGTTGGTTCTGAGGATTTTGGCTTCTTCATATCTTTGCTTTCCTTTAGTCCTTCACTTTCATTTATAAATTCCTGCTTTGGCTTCTCTTGTTTCTCAGAAATGTCTTCTGCTTCTTTATATGATGGCATATCCTTTATCAACTGGCAGTCTGCACTGACCATGCTATTTTGCTCTGGCTTCATTAGCTTGCTACTTTGTTGTTGCTGCTGCTGCTGCTGTTGTTTCTGAGACTGAATTTGTGGTTGTGTCGATTGATACTGTTGTGCTTGTTGCTGTAGTATCTGCAGCTGAGTCTGGCCAACATGGTGTTGAGTTTGTATCTGCTGTTTTAAATCCTCTAGTAGCGATCCTGTCATACCTGCCATTCCAGGCATACCAAATGTGGCCGAGCCAGGCAAACCCAGATCTGGACTCAAGCTAAATTCTGTCCCAGGAATATAGAATGGAAAAAGGAACTGAGGCTGTTGAAACTGCAGCAATGCTTCTGGTGTCATAGGAAAATGAGGCAAAAATGCTGGATTCAGAAACTGGGGCTGAAAGAATGCAGCTTGCTGTTGCAGTTCATGCTGGATTTGCATTTGAAGTTGTGCTGGTGACTGGGGTGGGTGATGTGAAGGCTGAGAAGCAATTAATTCAGAAGCTTGCTTTTTATTTAATTCTTTGGCATCTAAATGTGTATCTTTGCTGTTAACTGCTGGTAAGCTGATAGAATCTAGCATCCCTTGGCTGGGGCTGTTAACATTCCCTGCTACACTAGTTCCACTACTTATATTACCACTTGGTTCTAATTTTGCAGCCCTTGCCTTAGTCTGATGAAGCACAGATCTCATATGGATTTCCAATGTCGAACTTTGGCTATATGCAACATTACAAATGCTGCACTTGTAGGGTTTGTTATCAGTGCTGCTGTTGGTTTCTTGAGGGACAGGACTTGATGCTTCCTGCAAAACCTTTTTGAGTTTATGTAAATGAGACACTGAATTATAATGGACCAAGAGAATGTTCTTTTGAGTGAAAGACTCTTTACACACTGTACACTTATATGGGCGAGATGGATCTAGAAATTTTTCCATAGTAAAATTTGGCCCTTTTCTAAAAGGTAAGGTCCGCTTTGGTTCTGAGCCCATATCATCTGGAATAGAGCTACTATCACTTCCTACAGGACTTGCTTTACCTTCCTGGTCCATCTCATAATCTCTTTCTATTTCCTGTTCTAGTGCATGTTCATCTTGTGCCATACTTTCACTGTCTGCCCAGAGTTCACCATTTACAGGTAAAGATGCACAGAGCTGCTGAAGTTCAACTTCATTGAGTTCAGGGTGTCCTGCTTCCAAATGTTTTTTTAAAGCCTGGAATGTACGGAAGCTACGCTGGCAAAGACTACACATGGTAGCAGCCCGAATAGCATGATACTGGGAATGTATCTGAAGCTTCTGCATAGTCTTAAAAGCCAAGCTACAATGGTTACAACGATATTTATAGACATGGCGATCAGAAACAGAGAGCTGCTGCTTCTTCTGCTGCTCATTTAGCTGATCCGGCAGTGTTTCAGCGGGCTTTGTGTCCTTACTGCTATTCTTATTCCATTCTGGTGTTTCTGTAGATTCTTTAGGTGGTTTCTGTTCCTCGGTCTTAATTTCCATTCCAGTTTTGGAGTCCTCCAGCCCAGAAGTATTTTTCTCATCCATTGGACTTTCACCTAGTTAAAGCAAGCAAAGAAATGCCTTTTAAAAAATGTAACGTTTAAACATAGTGAAGGTTATTATGTTTTATTACCATCAAGCAAGATGGCACCCATTATGCAACATACAAACACAGGGTTGTAGGGAAGCCTTGAAGAGCATATAAGCTAAACAGACAATATGGACAATAAATACAGGAAAGGGAAAAATATACAAAAAGACTGGATAATGTGCCAGTGACAAACAATGTGTTGATGCTGCTGTTTATTTAGGTTAATATTTAGGGTAGGAATTAGCTAAATGGCAAGACAAAAAGGGGGAGGAAGGAACAGAGACAGAAAGAAAAAGGGTGAGAGGGGATAGAGCAGAGGACAAGAGAGTAGAGGAAGGTATAGAGGGCAAGTGGAGAGAGGCAGAGATGGAGACACAGTAGGGGGAGACAGTTGGAGCAGACAGCCAATCAGTACAGTGGCCATGTACAGCTGCACATGTAAGTTCTCCATCCAAAGAACCCAGAACTGTGTGCTCATGTATTTGTGCAATTACATGGACAATGTGTAGCCAAGTAGGCATACATGTGTGCAAAATTAATTGTTCTGTTCTGGTGTTTACATCAGGAGATCTTTGAAAATTCAGGCCTTACATAACATCTTACTACTTTTCTTCCATCAGGTTTTGTTAGTGTACATAATAAGGAAGGAAGGAGACAAGAAGTTTTCTAAAAATCACTTGTATTTAGATTCTGCGCATCTGGGCCTCTCTTGCATACCTGAATACTTCCCAGATCCCTCAGCTGTGATGGTTGCAGGTGTGTCACGCTCAGATTTCTCTGAAGCAGCTGCTGGCAATAGCATATTATTGGGCATCATAACATCTGGTACAGTAACCTTTAAAATTTAAGAAAATAATATTATATTCATAGAAGAAATCACACTGCTTTTCAGCACTGCACACATAGATCAAAGCTTATCACATGGCAAAGCCAAGATCTTGATTCAGTCCTGGATAACACTGGTTTCTCTCAGCATAATTCAGGATCTTACGGCTCCACAGTTGGAGTCTGCTCAAGGGACACGGGAGGGGAAAATAATGGTGAAATGTGGCACACATTAGCTATTTACAGACATTCAGTGCCACTCAGAATAGGTATTGATGCCTATCAAAAGGTAAGTGGTTGGGGTGGATGTTACATGAGCACATTTTACGCTCAAAATAAATGGTAAGTATGGTCTAGGAGTTAGGATGCTACCTTAGTGTTCAGGATAGCTGGGCTCAATTTCTTGTTCTGCCAAACACTCCCTGTAGGAGCTCAGCCAAGTTAGTCAATGCCTCATCTGTAACATTGGATGATAGTTTCTACCTCAAAGGCATGTTGGAAGAATGACTACAATGAAGATTTTGAGGCACTTAGATACTGTGGTAACAGGAGCTATAAAAGTACCTAAGATAAGGGCTGAATTTTTTTACATTTGGTGTCTGCCAGAGCATGAAATTTTTAAAACTTTTGAACAAAATCCATTCAGCCATTATTGTGAGAGATGAGAGTGGAAAAAAAATATTCACTTTTTTTCCACTGAGAAAAAACAATTCTAATCAGATAAAAAAGAATCATAAAACTAAAATACGATTCACATATTGATGCACAGACAGAATCCTCTGAGGACTAGTGACTTTGGTGCTATACTGGGTGGAAAAGTGGGGAAAAAACAAGCAAAAACACACCCAAAGATGTAGATGTACCCGAGATAAAATTTGCTGAAAAATCCTTTTTTTGTTTCCTTTGTGATCAGGAAATCAGCTATAGACAGCACATGTTGTTCTTAGTAAACATGACAATTTAGATGAGGAACATTAAGGTGCTCTCCTTTCTCTCTTTGTCACTCACCAAAATTCTACTACTCAAAAAACAAAAAAGAAATGAAAACCCCCCACTTTCCTCTATTTCCCCTCAAAATTAAAAAAAAAATAAAGAAAAAATGCCCTGAGAGAATTACAGTTTTAAGGGGAAAAATAAAACAGTGCAAGGAGAATACTGTATCAAACTGTTGTCAGCTTCTTACGATAGATGCAAAATAATAAACTTCAATTTAAAAACAAAGGCTTTAATCCTTTTCCCCCCCTTTGGAAGATGCTGGTGTCATAAAGAAACCAGATGTTTTGCTGATGTCTTAACCCATTTTGTATAAAACCATGGTCCAGTCAAACAATGAGAGCAGGAAAGGTGGCCATTCTCTCCATCAACCTAGTCACATTGCCAAACAACAGGTCCCAAAACACTTCAGGACGTCAGTGTGTAAAGAAAAATTGTCCCTAGCTTTATTATCTTTGCCTGAAATCTCCATGGAGTCAGACAGGTGATGATATGCATCCCTTATCATGATCATCCTGTTCCATTACTGCCTTTTCCATTTGTAGTCTTTGTCCTCTCCTCATTGAGGACCTTGTACTTACTAACTGGGGAAGAGAACAGCGCAGTGTTAACAGATGCCTCTAACCACTGAGCTACATATTTAGACAAAAAGAGATATCTACTTTAGGTAGTGATCCTTTTCACACCCAGACCCTGAGATAGAAGGGTAAAACAGGATGACACAAATCATGAAAGCTAAATGTTGAAAGAAAAACACCAATGTAGTGTGCACAGTGAAAACAAGAGAAAATAAAATTAGAAAATGAAAAAAGGTAAGTTTCTAATGTCTGCAGGATTTCCATGTGATGAGCCAAAATTTGCTGGCCTGATGGAACTATACTTTGTAGGACTGAGGAGCGAAGGCAGGGAAAAAGACAAATTTACATTATTTTCATCATCTTCTGGATTCTGAGCTCAGCTTAGGGCCAGTTTAGCTCCTAGAATGATTTAAAGTGGCTTTGGGCTTCAACAGCTATTCATCCTGGCTTTCTTTTCCTTGGCTGTTTCCTTGGAGAAGGTTTCTTGGTCTGGGATGGAAATTATGTGGGAGGAATAGAAGAGGGCATGCATCACCTAAATAGCTAATAACCCCTGGCTAAGGCACTCACCTTGGATTTGAGACCTAGATACAAGTCCCTGCCATATTCCAAATAAGGACTTGGACCTGGGTTTCTCAAATCCTGAATATATGCTCAAGCAAGTCTGCTTCTCTCTTACACTTGTTTTTTTTGTGAAAATATCTAAGGACTCTCTTGTGGAACAAAAAAAGAGAGTTAAAACCTTAAAATTTTGTGCAAAATGCAATTATTTTCCAGTCAAGTCTTCTACAAATATTATGCAATACAGGCTATGAAGCATAATGAAAAACATACAATGTTATTGTTATATATGATACATAAGTATCTAATTTTTGTATCTAAACTCAAGGAATTTATTTTAAAACTCTAATTGCTTAATATGATGTTATTAAATACTTCAGAAAAGTCAAAAAACTGATAAAATAATAATAAAAAATTATGCTTTGTAAAAACCTATAATCCTGATCAAAGCCATTTTTTTGTGAAAAATCAGGCCCTGACTTTCCCAAGCTTCTGGCTGATATAGGAACAAAACCTAAAAGTCCTGACTCTCATCCCCTAGCTCTGGGTAACAGAATACTGTGTCTCATCAAATTCATTGCCAAGGTGTTTGGCTACATTTCTGTTGCATGTGCATCAGTATTTTGAACACTTACTGTCATAAGCAGTTTCTCCACACAATCAGGGGATACACTGTGCAAATGGGTCAAATGAAGCTGGAGATGCATTTTGTTGCTGAGGACATCCTGGCAGAGGGGGCAGCAGATAACAGGTTGCATTGAATGCTGTGACAGGACATGCATCTGGATGCGATTTGGGTCCCTACTATTGTAGTTACAATAAGGACACTGATAGAACTGAAAAACAGCAAATGAAGATGCAGGCTATTAGTCACTGTGCTTTTAATGACCTGATAATATTGCTGTCTTAATAGCACATCATCTTGGTTTTACTCTGGAGCTATTTGAAAGACTTCTATAAGGAAAGAAAGTTATTTTATTTCAGTTACCTGTTCATGCCCAAATTTATTGTCCTCTGGAGGCTTTGTTTTTTTAGATGCACCATCCTCTTCTTTTGCTGGAAGGAGTTGTTGCGTCCCTATCACAGCATTCACTTTTGGATCTTTCTCTAGTGAGACTATTCCTGTTCCGAAAACATAAGTTTTAAGAACATATTTTAAATTTAAAAGCATTATGTTGCAAAAAGAACGGTGATTCTACTGCCTATGATTCTTCCTCATATTTATGTTAAACAATTGCAAGAAAAATTAATTTAATTAAAATAATTTTAAAACTCAAAGTCCAAAGTAAAAACACATTTATCTTTGATGGGGAGTCTATAAAATATTTTAAAATTGACTTGTTTCTTGTTTAGATAACCTTAAATTGTCTTAAAAGATTAATCAATAAAATGCTTCCTTCAGCATCTCAGTCTCAATTTCTGTATTACATTTCTATATTACATTACAAATCCTCTTTCACTCATATATCTTTGCTGTAAAAAATAATGAATTAGCTAATGTTTAATTACCTTTCCCTTTTTATAAAATGTTTGAGCAATGCAATGATTGTGCTGTTTAGTTTACAATTCTCAAGCTAAATATAATGAGCCTGAAAAAAAAAACCCACTGTGGAAAACAGGATTGAAGAGCTAACTTAATAGTAATTATATACCAAGATCAGTCATTTTCTATTGCTTTAGTATAAAAATTCAGGGTGTAAACATCTGTGGTATTGTAATCAAAACCAAGAATATAATTGTTTTCTAGAGACAGTTCTACTATTAAGTATTAAACACTATATTTAATATTATGCCTGAACTAGCTGTATAATGTGGCCCAGTCTTGCACACATCAAAGAAAAGAGTGCAATTCTAATTTCCCAGTCCATCAGAAAATTCTTTCCAGCGTCAATTTGCCAGATAATCTCTTCTGCTAGGCTGGATATTACAAGAGCATTGGGTAGGCATGTCACATACATCTCACGACAAACACAAAACCTCATTTACCAACCATTCCAATCTCATCATAGTGCGGCATCATCTGACCTTTTTTCTGCTGTTTATTATGAGTATTTCTAATTTTAACTTTCAATTTTCACCATCTTCCAGTCAATTTGCAACTAAATTATTTCCAGGGTGAGGACACTATCACTGGACAACTGGGTGCAAATACATCTTGAAATGCAATGAAGCTAAACCATTGATTGCTATCAGACCCAACGTAAATATATAGTCCAGGGGTAATCTGATTGTATGCTGTGCATGAAGATTTATCTTGATTTTTTCAATCCACATAAGGTTCATATAAATGAACAAATTGCACCTCATTGCACAATAACCTAGTTTTAATTAAAAAATAAGGTCACAGATGTTACAGAAACAAGGTAAGATGAATAAAGAAAATACTTGTATTTTTGTGTAGAAAAAGCAAGACCATTTTCCCCCTATCATACAGACATTATAAAATATTAGATATTAACAAAGGAACCTTAGAAAAGACAGTAAAACCAGGAGACAGCTCTCACCATATAAACAAACAAAAAGACACCCTAAGCCAAATGACAGACAACTGAATGCAGTATAATGTTGTGGCATTTTCCACATGACATTTTGTAAACATATGAATATACATTATCGTATATCCATTAACGGTCACCTCTCACACATTGGGTTTGATTCCTAAAGTTGTGATTATTTGCTTTTGTGTAATTTAGACTAATAATTATGGAATGCTCAGGAATTTTATTTTTACTGTATATTCCTAGCTTTAATGACCAATTTGTCAACATCAATTTAATATTTGAAAAGCTTAGTTTATGGAGCCCCAGCAAATTTTGACATTTTAAAGGAACTGAACCTACAGCTTTACTTCAGCCAGGCTGTATATATTGCCTGCTTAAGGGGTGTAGAATTAAATTCTTGATGCTTAAAGGCATAATATACATAGTGATGATGTACACCATCATTTTAGTACCCAGTTGAGTTCTTGCTAATACGAACCTCCTAACACATCATTATTTACTTGGCAGTATAATATTGTTATTTAAATGACTTAAAGGTGAGAATTATGGGAAATAAAAAATGACATGCTATATTAAAAGGGAAAGGTTACTTTTCAAGTTTTAGAAAGATGGGTTCAAATTATTAACCTCTCTTCTTCTCCAACTGTCAAAGATGTCTAACAGTTGACTATTGTCTCTTACCTATATCATGTCCCTTAAAAATGTTTCATTGTAAAGATAATGGGCCAGAGTTTCAGCCGGTGTGAACTGACATGTTTATGGCATAGTAAACTGAGGATCTGGTCCAACGTGATTTCAGTGAATTAAAAAGAATGCAAACAAAACAAGGTTATGCAAACAGATCAAAATCTGTATATGTCCTGGAATACAACTGTTCACAGAATTTAGGCTGTAGCGTGTTTATATTATGTACCATCTCCTACTACAGAAGATAATAATTATGCCAAAGGACCAATTATAATCACAAAACTCACCTGTGTAGACTGAGTGCAAAACACTACCCAAATCAGATTAGTAGTATATTGTACTATGCACTCACTTATCACAAGTTTACATGATAATGGTAGTGCAAAGCAATGGAAAATCACCTCCTTATAGTTCAAATGACACTAATGCCTAATGGATTTTCACTAGTGAATTCAATGTTTTAAGAAGTTTTGTGTAGCACGAATAAACAAAGTTAGGCTCTAATTAGAGCGGGTGGGGAAGGTTGTTCTTTTCCTGTGGTTTAAGTCATGACTAATGCTACATGCCAACAACAGAGATACTGATTCAAATTTAAATAAACTACACAGGCAGTGTTTTACAGGATGTGTTTCTCGTTGGCAATTTGTTGTTCCTGAC